CATGGCTCCAAAACGTTTTACGAAAGGGGGCTCTGTCCCTCCCCGTGCAGAGGAGTACCTCGTGGCCCTGGACGAGCTCCTTGCGGCCAAGCGGCTCGGCCTCGACGTCTTCCTCACCGAGGCGCCCGCGCGCCTGGCGCCCGAGTGTCTCCCTGGGGGGGAGGCTGGCGGGGAAGGGCAATGAGGAGCAAGGAGGAGGAGGAGGAGGAGGAGTGACGGGATGATGAATGCTTACGATGATGACGATGTTGCTGATGACGATGATGATGTTGTTGCTGATGATGGTGATGAAGATGATGATGATGATGACGATGATGACCATGCTGATGATGGTGATGGTTATGGTGATGATGATAGTGATGATGATGGTGATGATGATGACGATGTTGATGGTGATGCTGATGGTGTTGATGATGCTGATTATGATGATGCTGATGATGATGCTGACGACGATGGTGATGATGATGATGATGATGCTGCTAATGGTGATGATGCTGATGATGGTGGTGATGATGGCGATGATGATACTGATGCTGATGGTGATGCTGACGATGATGATGATGCTGCTGATGCTGATGATGATGGTGACGAATATGACGATGCTGATCATGGTGATGATGATAAGGATGGTGATGCCGATGATAATGGTGATGGTGATGGTGATGGTGATGGTGATGGTGATGGTGAGGATGTTGATGATGATTATGATGCTGACGATGACGATGATTATGAGAGTGATGCTGCTGCTGCTGATAATGATGCTGATGATGATGCTGATGATGATGCTGCTGCTGATGATGATGATGATGATGATGATGAGGACGATGCTGTGGATGAGGACGAGGATGACGAGTATGATGATTCCGATGATGATGAGGAGGAGGACGAGGAGGAGGAGGAGGATGAGGAGGAGGAGAAGGAGGAGGGGGAGGAGGAAGGGGCGGAGGAGGAAGAGTAGGATGGTGATGATGATGATGATGATGATGATGAGGAGGAGGAGGAGGAGGAGAAGGAGGAGGAGGAGGAGGAAGAGGAAGAGGAAGGAGGAGGGAGTATGGAAGATTGAAGAAGGAGGAGAAGGAAGAGGAGGAGGATGAGGAGAAGGAGTAAGGAAGGAGGAGGAGCACGGGGAAGGTTGGGGGGGAGGAGGAGGAGGAGGAGGAGGAGGAGGAGGAGGAGCAGGAGCAGGAGGAGGAGGAAACGTCTGCGTCCGGCCTGAGACAGAAGTCTTCCCCCTCTTGCTTCCTTGTGTCTAGCGAAGCGGGGGGGCGCTGATGCAGCAACGGCGGCCTCTTGAAGAGGGTCCATGTGCGAACTGTCCTTTCCCTTGTCGCTCCGCCATGCATGTATCTCCCCGACCGCGCACGTTCCAAGGTGTCTGTAGACCAACCCAGAACTGAGGAGATGAGGAGAAGGATAGAAAATGGAGAATGGAGGATGGAGTGACGGGGGGTCCTGAGCGGGCAGGGGGCAGAGGAGGAGGAGGAGGAGGCGCGGGAAGAGGAGAAGGAGGAGGTGGAGGATCAGTGGAAACCCAAGACGCGTCAACGAACTTGCAAGACAGCCTCCATTCAATATCCCTCATAGGGCCCTTCAAGACTGTATGGTCATTGCGGGAAGTTGCCCATTAGAAGACAGACTTCTGAGAATCCCCAATGGTGCTAAAACACTGGTCAACGTGTCTGCTCGCCATGACAGTCCTAAGCTGCGCCAGAACATCATTGCAGGGACCTCAACACAGCGAATCAACGTCGATGTTGTGTCCTTAGAGTTCTAAGCCGTGCCAGAACACCATTGCTGGGACTTCAGCCATACGAATCCTTCAAGCTCTCGCGAACCTTCCAGACGAGTGTGCGCAGCACTACGGCCAGAGCCACAGTTTGGCAAGAAACAACCCTCCATCCTTGAAGCTCTTACGAACTTGAAGACGACTGTGCGCGGCCCTTAGTCGAGAGCAACAGTTTGAGCAGGAACCGCCTTCCCTCCGTGAACCTGGCACGATTTTCAAGCTTCTGGACCCTAAATCGTAAAGAAGTCTTGGGCGAAACACCCGGCCCGCCCTACCGACACGTGTGGGTGTGCGACAAGGAGGAGTCATGTAGAAGGAACAGGGATGGAGGGTGACGAGGAGGATGGAGGCAGGAGGATGGAGGATGGAGGGGTGGGAGGTCCTGGAGGGGCGCTGGAAAGAGGTGGAGGGGGAGAGACAGTTTAACCGTTTTTTGCATCTACTTTGGGCTTCCGAAGGGGGGGGAGGTTTGTTGCCGCAGCTGGATTCAGCTCAAACACCTGGCCAGAATGGTGTCCGTGAGGGGTCCAGGGACAGTCTGTGCAAAGCGGATGGGCGGACAGGATGAGGAGGGAGTGGAGGAGGTGGCGGCGACGAGGGGGACGACGACGAAAACAGAAACAACAAGAAGGACGAGAGGATTAGGAGTGGGAGTCGGAGGAGGGGGGGAGGAAGGACCAACGCCATCAACATCCTCCTTCCCATCGTCGTCCTTACAATCGTCGTCCTTCTCTTCTTAATTTTTCCTCCTCACCATCATCCGCTCCCTCGGCGTTGCTGTCCTCTTTCTCCTCCCTCTCCTCTCTCTCTTCCTCCGCCTCCACCTCCTGTTCCTTCTCCCTGTCGGGGTGCTCATCCTCCAGCTGTTGCCGCTCCTCTTCGTCCCTCGCCCCCCCGTTCTCGTCCTCCTGCTTTGCACCCCACCTTACTCCGTCCATCCTCATTTATCTCGTCCTCATGCCCCACCTCATCCACCACTTCCATCTCTTCCTCCTCCTCCTCCTGTCCTCCTCGTTGTTGTGGGCTTCGTCGGCCTCGAGGACCTCGTCTTCCTCCCTCCTCGTCCTCCTCCTCGTCGTTGTCGTCATCATCATCATCAGCATCATCATCATCAACATCATTATAATCAGCATCACACTCATCGTCCTCATCCTCATCATCATCAGCAACAGCATCTTCATCATATTCGTCATGATCACCATCAACATCACCATCATCGTCATCATCGTCATCATCCTCGTCATCATACGCTCGTGGTGCTAGTCACGTCGACACAGAAGCAGTTGGAGGCGATGAGGGAGGCGGGAGTTCGCTTCGACGAAGCGAAGGCGCAGCATCGAGCAGCAGGCAACCAGGAGGAGCTCGCGCGCCTGAAGTGGGCGCACCTGCACGTGTGGATCGGGCTCTGTGTGTCGATAGTGAACGACGGCGAGATCCCAGCAGAAACCAAAGAGAACGTGGTGGCCCACTCGGGAGAGGTTCAGCCGGCCGCAGATCTAGAGGACACAGTCCTAGTGTGCACAGCGAAAAAAAAGGTTTTCCGTCAGCAGAATTGGAAGGAGGACGTGTGTCGGATCGAGCTCTTCACAATTCCGTCTCTGAGGCCCGTGGTGGAGGAGGTAATCGCCATCACCATGAGGAGCGAGGGCAGTATCAAAAAGTAGGGTGTCCGCCGAAAGGCCCGAACGTGCTGAAAGTAATACAGGGCCTTAGGGGGGTACCAGGCGCAGGCACAGAACTAGAATAAGCATGTATGAGTTTATTTTTCAGGACAGCGGGGGGACATTGAGGTTCTCGAGATTTCTGAGGTAGAGCTTTTTTTTGTTTCGGAGCTGGGGCAGTCTCGGATTTTACGTTCCATTCAGGGACTCTCCACTGGCGTGAGCGGCGCCTTGAAGTCAGTCTTCGAGGGCCTCGAGCATGTTTCCCCTCCTGGTGTTTCTTGGCGCTACCTGTGGGGCTGTGCTCAGGGGGCCAGTGCCATAGAGTTTCGTCCCAGTTCTTGCTAGACTTGCTCGGGTGGTGAGCTAGGATGCAAGCTTATCATTCTGGCCGAGACGGGCAAAGCCCACTGACCCGAGCTCCAGGTTTTTAGCGTGTTCGCTGCCTGGTCCTGTTGCTAGCCAGGGAGCTCATATGGGGGAAAGGAAGAAGATCATCGTCATCATCATCGTCATCATCATCACCATCACAACCGCCACCATCACCATCATTATCGTTTGCATCATTACTATCACCATCGTTACCGTCATCGCCGTCATCACCAGCATCACCATCAACACCATCACCGTCATCAGCACCATCATCACCATAATTTCCATCGTCTGCGACACCGTCATCATCATCATCATCACCATGACCAGCATCATCATCATCATCATCACAATCATCATCATCATCATCAGTATCACCATGGTCATCATCATCAGCAGAAACACTAGCATCATCATCTTCAGCATCATCCTTACCATAATCATTATCATCAACATCATCATCAGCAACATCAGCAGCAGCAGCAGCCTCCTCCTCCTCCTCCTTCTCCTCCTCCTCCTCCTTCTCATCCTCCTTCTGTCCTTGAGAATGGTACTGGACGCACTTGAGGATGCCGCGGTCACCATTGAGGATGGCGCGGGGTGCTGCTGCCCCGACGTTGGTAGAGCGGCGAAGCGACGCCCGAGGCGCGGCGCTGCTGGCGCCCGGGCATCCGCAGATCGGCTGGCGCAGGGGGACTGATCATCGGTACCTCGTTTGCTCCTTGGCGGAGCTGTGTGGCGGCATGCGCCGAGTTCGCAGGCCCAGGCCGGAGCCGACGCCAATGCAGCCGACGCTCGGTGTGGGAGCTTTGTTTGAAATGGCATCGTCATAGGTTTTGTCCTGTGTGGTCTTTTTCGTGTTTGCCAGCCTCGCCGCCCGTCCTCGTTCCGATCCTCCTCCTCCTCCTCCTCCTCCTCCTCTTCCTCCTCCTCCTCCTCCTCACGTCCGTAACCATTTTGGCTCAAGCCGCGAAACCTACGGTGGAATCAGCAGAGGTCTGATACAGGACAACCCACGGTACGTATATAAGTCATAGCTGAGGGCCTTGCCGCGGCTTGCGCCGCTCGTCCTCGTCGCCCTCGGCGCCCGCACGATGATCCCCCGCCCGTCGGTGAAGGGCGGCAACAATCTCGGGGGGTCCCGGCGAACCTCCTTGCGTCGCGCTCACCTCGGGGTCCGGCGAACCTCTTCCCAGCGTACATCGACATGACCATCATGCTGGGCAGGGCCTTCGACAAATACGCGCCGGACGTAGATCATTGCGGGCATGCGGCTGGAGTACCAGGTGCTGCTCCGCC